TCAAATGTAGCATTAGTGCTCATTTTTGTATTTGGTATTCAATAAAATACTATCTGAAATATGAAAAAAATGAGTTTGTTTTTCAACTATAATCATTTTACCTGGAACATATCACAAAGACATTATTAATTTTTTTTTTTGAGACAGAGTCTCACTCTGTCAGCCTGAGTAGAGTGTTATGTCATCATCATAGCTCACAGCAACCTCAAATTCTTGGGCTTAAGCAATCCTCCTGCTTCATCCTCCCAAGTAGCAGGGAATACAGGCACCTGCCAGGATGTCCCACTAATTTTTCTACAATACTTGGCTAGTTTTTCTACATTTAGTAGAGATGGAATCTGGCTCTTGCACAGGTTGGTCTCAAACTCCTGGTCTCAGGCAATCCACCCACCAAGGACTCCCAGAATGCAAGGATTATAGGCATGAGACACTGTGCCCAGACTGAAAATTATTTTAAATACATTTATTTAACAAATATTTTGGGGGAAATTATAATTTTCAAAATACCTGACCATATCTTATACAGGGTGTACATAAAGTTAACGTGCAATTTAAAATAGTTTAACACAGTAAATTGCACATGAACTCTATGGACACCCTGTATTGTATATATGTTAAATATAGAAAATCTTGTCTAGGCCACAATTATTATACATCCAGCTATACAGCATGTTATGATCTGGGAGGAGAGGATATATATACCCATAAAGACATAAAAAACTGTATGCCTTGGGAGGTAAAGACATTTGGAACGTTTTCAATAAAATGCGTGTGTAAAGTAAAATGTTAATATGCTAAACCAACATCATCTTTCCATTTCTGGGCAAATCTGCATATCATACTCTGCAGATTATTCTACACTTTTTTTTAATTTTTTTTTTTTTTTTTAAAGAGACAGAGTCTCACTTTATCACCCTCGGTAGAGTGCTGTGGCGTCACAGCTCACAGCAACCTCCAACTCCTGGGCTTAGGTTATTCTCTTGCCTCAGCTTCCCGAGTAGCTGGGACTACAGGCACTGCCACAATGCCTGGCTATTTGTTGGTTGCAGTTTGGCCAGGACAGGATTCAAACCCACCACCCTTGGTATATGGGGCTGGCGCCCTACCCACTGTGTCACAGGTGCTGCCCAGATTATTCTACACTTTTAAAATCACTACTGTCACACCAATTCTTCTCTGGTTATCTAAGAAAGCAAGATAATCTCCATAACACATACCTTACAACTCACTCTGAACCCCGCAATGTGCACTTACTCTTCTCTCTGACGCCTAATGTCAATCTTTGCAGAAGCTGTAGCTATGTGTCAAGAAAGCTGTCCAACTGATAAATCTCATATGTGCACTTTTAATGTCAACACAACCAAATAACAAGAACACAGGGCCAGCTGAGGTTTCACATGAAGCTCAACTACCAGCATGCTACCTGCCTTGCCTCATGGTCACCATTTCCCTTGTGTTTTCTACCTAAGAGAAGAAGGTCTGTCTGTGTCAAATGTGGATAAAGCTCACTTAAACAGTTGACTCTGATCATTAGGGACACATATGTAGCCATTAATTTTGTCTTTAAAGAAACTGGATATTGAATATCTTTTTACTAAATATCTCAGCCAAAGAGCAATAATTAGTCAAAATTATTTTAGATGTTTCATTCAGAATATAAAAATAAAGACTGGTAATTTTTATCTTATCTGTTTATCAATGAAGACTATGAGGAAAAAAAGATATGTTTTGAACATTAATGTTTTCTAGTTATTTCTTTTTCTTTGAATTATTAAAAATGTTTTCAATATTAATGAAAATGCCACCACTTTTTGTAGCAACACTGTTCAATAACAATGTTCAGTAACTGTTCACAGCATTTGGCCCAACACCATACTCAGACAAGCACTGCCTACCTGATCTATTAAAATGAGATTATGCAGGAAATAAATCTAAATAGAGGGATTCTAGAATTTAATGTCACTTCTATATCTAAGCTAAATTTGGGAAGTGAAAAGATGAGTATGAAGTTTTCTTTAGGCAAACATCACTATTTAAAAGTGAGATAACTATGTAGATTATATGACATAAACTATTTTATAAGAAATTATGATTATCATTAAATTGTATAGCTAACATATTAGAATAATTATAGTAATATTATAACGCATGAGATGAAACTGAAACTATCAAGCATAGGTAATAAATAGAAAGAACAGACACTAATTTTAAAACTTGATATGCCACTGGGGGGGGAAAGCAATTAACTTAGGGCTTCTCATGCTTGGAAGAAGATAAAAATCAAGTCAAACATTACCATTAAAATAAACCAAGGAAAAGAACAAAACCTAAAGCAAACCAATAAACACTGAATAAAAGCCCAAAGAAATAACAGGAGCTCTTATTTAACCTAGTCAATGAAGACATTCATTTCTGCTACCTCTGATGACTTATTACCATGGAAATAAAGAAATAATATGGTTTAAACTACGGAAAACAGGAATGCAGCAATTGCAAAGACAAAGTTTTAAAGCATTTCTGAATGACATCACGTGAAAAGGTGATGCCCAGTGAAACTGGTAGAGAAATCACGGAACGCTCACAGAACAGGTTACGGCCAAGGAGGGATACATGTGTCCAAAATACAGAGTGCAGGGGTGAGGAAAGGGGCCAAGGCAAGCATCTCATTCACTAGATACACTCACAAGATGTGACCTATCATAAACAAGCCAAAATAAAGGTGGGTTTTATTTAAAGTAAACAGATAACCTAGTAGAACTAAAATTATTTTAATCACACGGGTGAAGGTCAGAAGGGGACATGGGAAACTCAATGTTCTTTGTTGGGATCCATCAAAGGCAATCAGCAAACATGCCTAAAATAGATATGCCAAAAAATAGCAGTAAAAGCATCTACTTAATGGAACAAAGATACACTATAAAGATTCCTAAACAAAAGGTTAAGAGCTTGTTGCCTCCTTCCACACTTCCTTTATAGCTGCACACATTCTGTGATTAATTTTCTGTGTATTCAGTAGCTCTCCTTTATAGAAGGTTCTAGAACACAAAGATGCATAATGCATATTATTTACCCCAATTCTTTCACTGGATTAATGAAGAAGATATACCTATAAACTGATAATCACAGTAAGAATGCTAGACCATAAAATTATATGTTCATGTCCTAAGAGATCCAGCAAGAAAAGTTTTTTAAATGACATTTAAAAGTGGGCACCTTCTCTGTTTAAGCAGAGTCAGGAATTAACCTTGAAGCAGAAATTATAGATAAAGGAAGACTCATTTGCTAGAGCCAAGTTATCACAGCTATTTAAACATTCATTTTAGCAAGTATTTACTATCCTAGAGTAGTCTGTTTCCCAGGGTAAGAAAGACTATCTGTCCTGAAATTCCCTACCATGCAGCATGGAGGAGCTTCAGGAAAACCAAAGAGACTTCTGTACCCAGTCCCAACAGGCTCCTGGAGGTGGAAGCTTCCTGGGACGCTGTGATTCAGAGCTTTTCCTTTTTTGACATTTGTAGGCATGAGAATCCCCTGAGAGATTGAGATAGAATCTGCCAACAGCAAAAGCACAGAGGGCCCTTTAAGTGTCTGTGGAGAGTAGAGAAGATTCCTGCAGAACAAAAAGAATTAGGAGCTGATGATTCTGAATTGGGGGTTTATAATTTTTAATGCTGTAAGTCAGACCTCTATGGTCTCATCTATAGTAAAGATTTCTCATTTCAACTTTGGGTATTGGAAATTAAAAAAAACATTTTTTTTGAATGAGAGACTAATGTTGTATAGAAATTATTCTTAATAAAAGTGGATAACAGACTAGAAGGTGGAAAGTCAAAAGGAGGAATACCACTGAAGCATTGTTACATTACTCATAGTGTTATCTAGTGTAATTTTGACTCAGACACTGAACTACAATAGGTATTACAATTCAAATTAAGGTGTCAGACCCAAATTCAAAGTTTTAGATAATTTAGCAGAAAGTCTTGAACACTCATAAGAGTGGTATAAGAGATGCTCAGTGAATTTATTTAAAATGTGATACATTTCTAGATGGGACTTGTGTAGGACATAAAAAAAGTTTTCATAATGTGAAAAATGGATGAAAGATTTAAGAAGGAAGATTTCTCCAGAGAGAGCTACATTTTGCGGGTGGAATCCGCCCACTCATGGCTAGCCAAGTGAGGAAGATTTCAGTGGAACCCCTTGAAGGGTTTGCTATGAATGGCCTCAAAACGATGAACTTTCCCTTGAAGCTATTCTAGATACAGCTACTGTTGAGGGTCACCTGTAAAGAATAGTATTCCTCAGAGAGACCTAGGAAACAACCATGTGTATTCTATGCAAAATTGCTTTTGAACAAAAAATGTGTTCTCAACAGAAAAAAAAAAAATCAGAAAAATTCATGTCCATAGAATTCCCTGGTTTTAAGTGAATTTTCTAAGTGAACTCCATCATTTAGAAACATTTGACAAAAACAAACAGTGGAATGGCTATTGAAAACAGTTGTGGCTTTATGTTAGATAAAATACTCTGCGAGGCTGACATGTGATCACAGAGAAAGGAAATCTATTTTGAATGACTTACGAATACATGATACTGTGATGCTCCCAGCCAAAGTACATGGGACTAGGAATCAACGGGACAAAGTGAGAATGGTCACTCTCATTATTATAATTAACACCCCATCGGCAGACTTTTTACAGTCTAACCCCATAATCATTGGCTCTCCTGGTTTGGAGGTTCTGATCCCTCACAGGAGAAATGCTTCCACCAGAAGACACAGAGATGGAAGTTTAGACTGTCATTTTGCTATTCATCCTTTTCCTGTGCTATTGAACCCATCAGCATAGACAGCATGTGCTACTGTACGAGATAGAGTGGTTTGTTTTGGTTATCAAGAGATAGGACTGGGTTGCTGCCACACAGGAAGGGCAGGGAGGACTTTCTGTAACCAAAAGTTTTATTATTGAACATTCATGTTTAATAATGAAAGGTAATGAAAGGTGCTTGCTTTGGCAGCACAAATACTAAATTGGAACAATACAGAGAAGATTAACATGGCCCCAGTGCAAGGATAACATCCAAACTAGTGAAGCGTTCCATATTTTTTTTTAAATGAAAAGTAATGAAAGACAAAAGAAACATATAAAGGCCACAACATTGAACAATCATCAGAAATAAAGGTTTCAATTATCCAACCAAGCAAAAACTTATTCTCTGAGGCACTGCCTGAAAGCCAGGAGTACATGAAATTGGTAATGACAGAGGAAATGATAGCTATCAGTGCGATCTTTAATCAATACAAAAACAAGTCCTATAGTCACATAAAGGTATGTGTATACATGTATACTTCGTGATTTTTCCCCTTTGACATCCTTCTATTTTATATTACCTTATTTCACATTTAGTTTATTAAGTTACCAGGCTCGAGTAACCACAGCCAGACCCGATACACCATCTAGATAAAGAGGCTGGACTGTGCACGTGCATGGTGACTGACAGTGGGAGAAAGACAGTATTTTCAATTGCACTGGACAGGTGCCTCACAAAGTCTTCACGCTGTAAAGGAATTAAATGTGGGTAGAAACATGAAAATGGAGGCTTAGGTACAACAGCACCAAGTCATATGCATTTTTTACTGGCTTGGTATCAGATTCAAACCTTGCCTCACCATCTGGCAAACTACATTTTCCAGGGCTTCCAGGTAGGTGTGACCAATGGGAGACCCTGGGAGGCTATTCGAGTGCTACAGCATGAGAGAAGCCAGGATCGTTCCACTGTCTGTTCTTTCATGTGGGCACACAGGTAATGGTAGTTCTTCTCTACAGTTCCAGGTCCTATAACATTCATTCTTCTGAAGTCTGGCCTGACTTTGATCATGAACCCCAGATCCTCAGAAGATATCCCAGGCTCTGCTATCTCTATCTGTTCGTGTTGTTCCTCCAGGACCAGCATTAGAGAAAAATGAAAGTGTTAGGAAGGTAGGGAGATTCTTGTTTCTGTGGACCACATTTGTTCTGGTTCTTGTGGCTTTTATGTTAAAAAATCAGTCAACAAGTGAGTGCCTTGTGTTTAACAGTATAACTGCAGGATACAACAATCCAATCTCTGTTAAAAGGCTGGTTAACACCCCAGCACTTGGTTAGTGCCTGTAATTCCACCAATCCGGGATGCTAAGATGGGAGGATTGCATGAACCCAGGAGTTTGTGACCAGCCTGGGCAACATAGCAAGACCTTATCTCTAAAAGAATGAAAAGAAAAAGTCCCTTGAATGTGGTAGCAGTGCTCACAACACATACAACTAGGAGGCTCAGGTGGGAAGATGGCTTGAGGCCAGGGGTTCAAGGCTGCAGTGAGCTATGATCATGGCACTGTACTACAAAATGGGTGAGACTCCATTCATAAACTAATGAATGAAGAATGAATGAAGACTGATTAATCGTCATTCTTTGATCATTGGTCATCATCCTTTCCAAAATTTTTCAAAGAGAGTGCATTCACATCAACTTCACTTGAGGTCATGTGAGCCAAAAAAAAAAATCAGGAGAAGCATAAATAGGAAAGACACCAGCATTTCAGATAAAATTGTCTCCGGTTATCTTGTTATTAGCACAGCCCTTTATTACAGGAAATGTGTAAAAAGGAAATGAATAACTACTTAGAATACATTAACATAAATTTGTACTTCAAGAATCCAAAAACAAGTTTGCTTTCCCAAGGAGGCTGTTTTATTACATTTATAAAATACGTTAAATATTTAGGAGGAGAAGTGACCATGTCTTTGGTTTATTGTGCTGTATCAGATGTTATTCATTTAATTATTTAAAAAATACTAAATGTTCTGAACGTGGCATAGAAAAACACGGCTCTCTTTTTTCAGATATAAGTAAAAATTCTATCTAAAATAATACATCATTCACACATTATCCTCTGCATGTCCTGACTTTACAGCATAGAAATGATCACTAGAATTACATAAGTAACCTGACCTAGAATGTGGCTCATGAAAGTAGGAGCTGTGTTTAGTTTTAAGCTGTATCTTCAACAACCAGAAGAAGCTAAAGCTCATGCTAGAAATATGAATATATTTGCATGAAAGAATGTCTCCATGAAAGAGTTGATGATAAGTAAATGAATAAATTGAATATCACTAAACTTACACCAAAATATTGTTCTGACACAAAGTGATAAGATTATATGTCTTAGGCAAAGGACCAGAAAGAATAGAGATTTCTCAAAAGAGGATATATAAATAGCCAATTGATATATTAAAAAATGTTCTACCCCAATTAATCACCAGATAAATGAAAATTAAAACCATAGTAAGATATCATTTCCCAACTGGGAGAATGGCAATTATCAAAAAGATGAAAGAGAAGAGTTGACAAGGATGTGGAGAAAGGGAAGCCTTGTATATTGTTGGTGAATCAGTACAGCTAATTGTATAGAGGCTCTTCACAAATATCAAAAGTGGAATTACCCTATGAAGCAGCAATCCCACTACTGGTATATTTCCGAAGACTACGAAATCAGTATGTCAAAGACATGTCTGCACCCTCATGTTCACCACAGCACTGAGTGCAAGAGCCAAGTTGTGAAGTCACCCCAAGTCCCAAGTGACCATGAATGGAAGAATGAATAAAGAAAAATGCAGCATATATACAAAACGGAATGTTACTCAGCCACAAAAAGGAAGGACAGCCTGTCCTTTGTGATGACAGAATGGACATGGAGGATGTCATGTTAAATGAAATAAACCAAGGCACAACAAGATAAATACTGCATGATCTAATTTATATGCAAACTGTGAAAAAATCAACCTCATAGAAACAGGTGGTAAAATGGTAGTTACCAGAAGCTAGAGGTTAGGAGTATTGGGGCGATGGTGGTCAGAGGACACAAAATTCCATTTATCCAGGAGGAATAAATTCTAGAGATTTATTATACAACATGTGGCTACAGCTAATTACTATATCTATAACTAAGATCACAGATTCTAAGTCTTCTCACCACAAAAATATGTGAGATAACACACTTTTAATAGTTTGTATATACATATACCAACACATCATGTCGTACACCATCAGTGAGATGATGTTTACTTCTCAATTAAAACAAATAAACAAATCAATTACTTTAAATGTTCATCATTGGAAACACCTCATAGCTTGACTCTGTGGTTATGCTTTACTCATAGAACTATTTGTTAGAATAGTAGAAAATAGTAGAAAAAACTATAAGGCAGATTCACTAAAAGTAAAAATAACCTGATAATTTTTATTTTCACCTCCAATTTTGGCAGACCACACAGGTTTGTCCTATTCCTGAGTATGCCAGCTTAGAAATCAACAGGATTAGAGCACATTCATGTTTAGAAGGTGCCAGAAACTTAAAATCAGGCAGATCTATCTATTCTGACATGAAGAAAAGATCCTAAAGGAAATTTCTTGAAGAAATTTGATCCCCTAGATTCCAGGAGGGGAATTTTTGCAGTTTCAATCAATATGTCCATATTCAAATGGAGATCGAAGAAGCTTCAAAGAAGGCATTGCAGACTATCTGGAAAATACATCTTGACTCGAGCTTTAGGGGAACTCAGGAGACCTTGACAGGCAGTGGAAAGAGACACAGTGTGAAATTTCTCAAAAATTTGTTGACTTTAAATAATTTTGCCTAATGTTACTGCTATGGCTTGGATATGGTCTGTCCTTATGTAAACTCATAATGAGGCTTGGTCCCCAGTGTGGCAGTGTTGGGAGGTGATGCCATAAAGAGGTGACTTGGTCATTAGAGGGATAAAGTCTTTGAGAACGGGTTAGTCCTGGTGGGAATGGATTACCTCCCAAGAGAAAAGGTTGTGGAGAGTTTGCCTCTCAAGTTTCGCCCCTTGACATAAGTACTAGGATCCCCTTCTGTTTCTCTGCCAGGTCTTGATGTAGCCTGAGGGCACCATCAGAAGCTCCCAGATCCAAACACCCCACCTTAAACGCCCCACCCGCAGAACCATGGACCACGCATACTTATGCCTCTTTTCATAATAAATTACCTAGCCTCAGGTATTCTGTTACAGTAACACAGGAGGGATTTAAACAGTTACATAGAATAAAAAACAATTTAAGTGCCGTGCACTGTTTGTAGAAATCAGCTTATATTTTTACCTCCACATTTCTCTAGTGTTTTCTGCGAAGGGAGTAAAAGCTAAATTTAGCAGGAATAAAAAAGCTTTATGCCCTCTCACAATTCTCACAGTCAAAAAATTTAATGTTAAATTATTGTATATTTTTAGATTCAATTATCTGAAAAAAAATTTTCATTTTCCACTTCACCTTGGTACATTATAAATATGACTTAAGATCAGATATATGGAGCAGCCAGACCAATATTTTTTATGATTATTACTAAAGGGCATTTTGAGTAAATGCACAGTTCTACTTTGATAAGCTATAAAGCATTATAAAGTATTCACAAGCACATTAACTTTTCTTATTAACCTTTTATAAATGAATTATCTGTCAATGTACTTGAAAATAAGATGTCAAAATGCACAGTATCAATAGAATACAAACTATTTAAACATTATCAAAATGCAATGTATCTTTTATTCTCTCTAAACATATTGTTTGGGGATATTTGAAGTGTTATCATTTGTGAAATATCCTAAAGTTTAACAAAGAAGGTCATGCTACCTCCATCTGCACATTTGACAGTTTCTTGAATTTCAATAACGCTGTCTCAGAAAGTTTGTTCCCCAAGATATGACATATTTGAAAAACTCAAGAAGGACTCAGAAATGATATCTTTTGAATAGTAGAATATATAATTGTGTGTGTGTGCATGTATGTGAGAAATAAGACTTACAACAAGACAGTGACCAATGCTGTAGGGAATTGATTCAAAGTAGCTATATGGATAAAGACACTTTCTGCTTCTAATTTTTTTCCTAATGGCAAAGAAATGCATTGCTATGGATGGAATGTTTATGGCTCCAAGTATATTGAAGCTCTATTCCACAAGGTAATAGATTAGAAGGTAGGGCATTTAGGAAGCAATTAGTGTTAGATTAGGTCATCAGAGTAGGTCCCACAGGATGGATTTGATGACCTTATAA